TCGTATATCGTGTAGATCATAAATTATTATAAATTTTTTTATTTAAAATTGAATACAAATAATATTTCACGAAAACTAATGCAAAAATTAAGATTCTCATAAAAAGTATCGGAGAGGATCCTCACTCCTATTATTCGCTGTCTTTTCACGGTTGCCGGTAAAATCGTTCGTTGCAAGACTTTTACCTTTTGGGCAATAAAAGTGGGAAAATTGCATACATGCCACATGAACTTATCAATTTAGTCATTAATCGCCTAAATTTAAAACAATGTAACAATAGCATTTGTATTTTTTTATTCACAATTCAGTTGGATATTGAGGACGTGACTTGCACGTTGACCCCTAATAAAGGTTATTATCGTCTATTTGCGTGTATGAGTATTGACACTCTTTTTTTTTTTTTTTTTCCAAGAATTTTTCAGTTTTGTTAATACACATGTGTAAGAGACTATTTTCTCCAACACTTGTGTTTGGATCTGAAAAAAAAAAAAACTCGTAAATGAAGTAAAGGTCGAGATTTGACATTAGGAATTTGGAATAGCTAACTAGAGCAAAGAAATTGAAAATTGTCGAGAAAAAAAAATGTGGAAACTGGAGCTCCACTTTTCTGAGTTTAAATTATACATACGAGTCGTTATTCACAAATTTAATAAAGAGAAATTATGTTTTTAGTGGGCCAAAAATCCAAATAAAACTCTATTGAAACCAAAAAGAAGGAAGAACTTCTAATCACTTTCACGTTCTTATTGGGTTTCAATTTTGTGTTTATACATGATTTTATTTTAAACTGTTATGAATCGTTGTTCTTGATGAGGTGATTCGCTTGAGATTGGATGGTTGAGTGTGGACAAGGCTTGTTAGGTAAGTAGAGGTCAAAGGTCGGGGGTTGTGGATATTGTAGACTGGGAGTTAGGACTGAGAAAGAGAGAGAATAGCATTTTATTGTGCTTATTAATTTTCTGCATGCGCACACACACACAAACACACAAAATCTCCGACAAGGGTGAGAATAACAACTGGTTGTAGCTATTTACTTCTTTATATATATATGTATAATTCTGAATCATCTGTTCACATGGAAATATTTAATTAGACCTGTGGGACTCATATATGTGTCACTTCAAAACACAATAGATTTTTTAACAGAATTACGACGGAAAAACCATATAGAGAGTTTGGGCATTCATATTCAATGACAAAATTAATTGATTTTCAATTTTAAGAATCATATTGTTGAAATATGTCAATTTCAAAAATTATTTATTATAGAAACATAAACGTAAATATAAAAAAATGGTATTCACGAGAACGTCCTCGAAAAGAGTATGACGCACATGTTAATAAGAATTGATGATAAAAAATAGATGAAGATGGCATATTACGAAGAGACTATAAATATGAGTTGCTGTTTACGAAATCTTTGAATATGTGTGGCAAAAGTGAAAAGTACAAATGCGGAATGGTAAAAAGTGAAAAAAAAGGTACAGGTGCCATTTGCTTTCCCAGACAGCACGAGACGGGTGACAAATTACAGAGGACAGAAAATCTTACGCTCGTTATTGCACGCTCCCATGGAAGCTCGGGGCTCTATCAGCGATGATAGATCTTCCCACTTCGCCACTCTGTTGCCATTAGATCTCCGACCAGGAAAACCCGCCATGAAAACAGCTCCATAGACGACGGTGGCGAATCGCTGTTGCCGGAGGAGATGAGGAGAGGTATAATCGGCGCGTTGTTGAAGTATCAGGGTGAGCACGGCACTCGCCTTGTTCGCAAAGGAAGGAGGCTCGGTCGAATCGCCAGGAACAAATTCTGGTTCTGGGTTTTTCTCTTTGCAGCCATTTTTTTTATTCACTTGCTGCTCGTCGGCTTCAAAATGCATCCTCCTGGTATGTGCAAATTTACAGCAAAAACTTCAACTTTGGTTAATTGGATTGTTTAAATTTAAATTTAATCATCTTGGTATTAATACGATGGTAATTACGGATGTGGGTTTTGATCAATGCAGCTAAACTAGAAGGTAGTGGTAGTAGTATTAGTATTTCGGTTCACCCAGAAATTTTGCCGTCTGGTGTTGGAAAACCACCCAGAAGCAAGCGTCGTGCCAAGTGTAAGTGTTGTTATACATCGATCCCGTGAATTTTTGTTATACTTTTTAAAAGTGTGGATAATTCGTCGATATTATTGATACATACTTAGACCTTATGGTTGTCTCGATATGTCATTGGTAAACTTGATTGCACTTTTTAAAAAAGCGCATTTAACCGCAATGTAGAAGGACTACTGATACCATAACCCTTGAGTTTCTTATTGATTTGGTGCTTATGCATATGAAAGATATGAACTTTGTTGACTGACTGTAATTGGATAATAAAAGATGCATACTTTGGGAACGGGAATTTTACGATATGACTTATCCCATTTGCTTCCTCCCATATGCTGGCTTTTCAGATTTGCCTTGTGAAGTTGGGTTACTGGAATCAGTTGAGTATCTTGTTGAACCCAGGGAAGTCAGGAACTTCACATATTTTTCACTGGAATACATTGACCAAGAGGGATTACCTTCTCGTAGTAATATGTACGAACCTAGATTTGGAGGGCATCAGACACTTGAGGAAAGAGAGCAATCCTTCTTTGCGAAAAATCAAACTCTGCATTGTGGATTTGTCAAGGGACCCCCGGGATTCTCAAGCTCTGGATTTGATTTACACGTTAAGGACAAGGCATACATGAATGGCTGTAAGATTGTAGTATCTTCTTGCATTTTCGGTAGCTCTGACTTTCTAAGGAGGCCTACAACCAAAAAGGTAAATATACTATTCCTTATTGAACTTCTTTGTATCCTATCCTTATAAATCATTTAATCAGTGTCTTAGGTTAAATAGCTATTTTTTTCTCTTTTAGTGGGTTCTTTAGTAAACAAGATGTCGCTAAAAGAACTTTAACTTCATCGGATATCTTGTTTGACTGATAAAATTTGAGTTATTGATTAGACCCCTTCGTGCCAAACAAGAAGTAACCGAAAAATGTTTGCATTTGCTACAGATGAGCGAATATTCCAAGAAAAATGTTTGTTTTGTAATGTTTGTGGATGAGCAAACATTGGCAAAACTATCAACAGAGGGACATGTTCCTGATGATACAGGACGAATTGGCTTGTGGAGGATAGTCATAGTGAAGAATTTACCATATGAGGATATGCGCAGAACTGGAAAGGTGCCAAAACTTTTATCACATCGCCTTTTCCCCAATTCATGGTAATTCTCAGACCATGTTCTAGCCATATAGTTCTTGGGGCAACTTAGGTCCATTCAATTCTGATTTGGGTTTTCAATCCATTTTTCTTCCCCATTTTTACAATTCCTGTTTTCAGGTATTCAATTTGGCTTGACAGCAAGATGCGACTCAATACTGATCCGATGCTGATTATTGAATACTTTTTATGGCGAACAAAATCAGAGTATGCCATTTCCAACCATTACGGTCGCCATTGTGTCTGGGACGAGGTACTCCAAAACAAGCGTCTAGATAAGTACAATCACACAGCTATTGATGAACAGTTTACATTTTACCAGTCTGATGGCCTCACCAAGTTTGACCCTTCAGACCCGAATACTCCTCTTCCAAGTTGTGAGTCTTATTAGCATTAGTCATTTGTAAAGATTGGGTTTTCTTTTCATCTGGAATCTGTGATATTTTATGCTGATTTCATGTGCTATTTCTGTGCAGACGTTCCTGAAGGTTCATTTATAGTCCGGGCACATACACCAATTTCAAATTTGTTTTCCTGCCTTTGGTTTAATGAAGTTAACAGGTTTACCTCCCGCGATCAACTAAGCTTCGCATATACTTACCTAAAATTGAGAAGAATGAACCCAGAGAGACCATTCTACCTAAACATGTTCAAGGTATTGAAATTTTTTAGAAGTTTATGATGTATTTCTCATAGTGGTTACATCATATTTCAACTGTATGCTGCATTCAATTTGTGATCTTGAAGTGTTGTATACAGTGAGATGTGGCCGACATGTTTTCAGAGCCACTCATATCATGAATTTGAGCTGTGTTTTTTAAACAAATGAGAGAATGTTAGCCAGTGAGATGGATGCATTGTTTTTTCTTAATTTTTTTGCAGGACTGTGAACGTAGAGCACTAACGAAGCTATTCCAGCACAGGGAAGCACCGCCTTCTCCACCCATTACTTGAACAATGATTATTGTTTATGGTTTATGCAGGTAAGGTTAATTGGGTGTTCATTGTTCTGCATGTTTGTGTTTTCGTTCATTTAGCAGCTTGTATTATTGTTTTCAGGCATTTGATCTGTGATCTTGTGCTAGTGAGCTTGAAGTATGGAGATTCCCCAAGACTTTCCAAAAAAGGATTGTAGCTGCTGCTTTCGGCTGGTGGGTTTTGTTGTTGCACCTGACCACTATGCACTCAGAGCGAATTCATTCGACACTACAAAACATCTACAGATCTAATGCGATCAAAACTGTCAACGCTGTTGCTGGCTGATTGTTTCTAAGGAGGGCAGACCAAGCAGCCATTACTATCGGTGTTCACACAATTGCGGTTCAGTTCCAAACATAGTTAGGAACTTGCGTTTTCTTCTGTTGTAGTTTTCAGTTGCAAACCCAACTTTCTAATGTTCTTGAAAGAAGGGTTTTATATACAGAAACTAACAATGTATTATTTGTGTAGCCTATCAATTTAATGTAGAAATTCTTTTAGTAGCCTCAAATATGAACGACTGAAAAGTCGGTTATACTTGTTGGCTAGAGTTCGTTTTGAAACGCTTATCGAAAAAGTACTTTTAATAAAAGCACATCAATATTTTAATAAAAATTCAGAAAGCTTTCCGGACGTGTTTTTTATATCAATATTATTAGAGACGCTTTTGGTAATTTGAAAATGTTTATGCTGCAAATTGCTATGCAGAAAATGCTTGTTTCGTTTGCCATGCTTAAAAAATTGCAAACGACGTCGTGCAGCTGACGATTACTTTTATAATGAAAAGTTGTTCGTAAAACCCAAACCGTTGCTGAATGCCACGGTCTCTAGAACGCTGCCATGGAAGGTTGCTTGATGAGATGCTCTCACGGCGGCGCTCTCTTGAAAACCCTCAAACCTCTCCGTTTGTACCTCCCCAGGAACTCCATTTGCAGCTCTTCCATGTCTATCCACTCCGGCGGGGGAGGATCGGCTGTCAGCCGCATGGCCTACGACGCATTGCTGTTAGACGCCGGAGGCACTCTGCTTCAGCTGAAAAAACCAGTCGAAGAAGTTTACGCTTCCATCGGAACCAAATACGGTGTCGTATCCAAATCCCACTCCTCAATTTCCCATCAATATTAAAAATTGGAGCCAAATTCAAACAACCGATGTTTTAATTCTCCGCAGGTGTGGCTGCAACTCCAGCTGAAATCAAGCAAGGTTTCAGAAGAGCTTTTTCTGCTCCTTGGCCTCAGAAGCTTCGTTACCAGGTTTCTTATATTGGTTTAACTTCTGCAACTAATTGAATATTACTGTGACTAATTAATTGTTTTGGGTATTAATGATGTTGTGATCAATCAATAATTGTAGGGAGATGGGAGGCCGTTTTGGAAACTTGTTGTGTCTGAAGCCACTGGTTGTGCTAATCTCGATTATTTCGAACAAGTTTATGAGGTAATTTCAATGATTATATACCAAAGCTTGAATCTTTGAAGAGAATTTTGAAATTAGATTTGATTTCCATGGTGGGTTTTTGTTGGTTATATCAGTACTATGCGAAAGGTGACTCATGGCGTCTTCCGGATGGAGCTTATGAAACAATGCTCCGTCTCAAAGATGCTGGAGTTAAGCTGGCTGTTGTATCGAATTTCGACTCCCGCTTGAGGAAGCTGCTTGAGGACCTTAATGTTTTGCATCTGTGAGCATCTGTTTTGTTACTAACTTGTTGTATTCGTGGCGCAAGGGCGTTGGGTTTCTTTGTTTTCTTTTATATGAAGAAACGAAGGATTTCCTTTTCTTCTATTTGCAGGTTTGATGCTGTTATCATATCTTCAGAAGTTGGGTATGAAAAACCAGATGCAGGCATATTCAAAGCTGCTTTAGGTATGCACAAGTAGGTTATCGTTGAGATCGGGATTTTTTTTCTTGCAGTTTAAAAGTCCACTTTGAAGCTATTCTCTAAGTTCTTCGATTGTTGCAGATCAAGTTCATGTGGATGCTGGCAAAGCAGTACATGTTGGGGACGATGAAATTGCGGATAAGGATGGCGCCAATGCCATTGGAATCGATTGCTGGTAAGAGTTCTTCTCAGTATAAATAGCATTTGTGCCATGTCTTGTTCCCGTTTTGATCATGATATAAACATTCATATTGTGCTGCGTTTCATGATTCTTTTTCCAAAAGGGTATTACTGTTGTGACGTTTTATCAGTATCGCAATAAGTTCATTACAGAGTTCATAGGACTTACCTTTTATTTGAATAAACAGGTTATGGGGTCTAGATGTGAAGACATTCTCTGAAATTCGAAACCGCATTCTCATTTCAGAGTCATAGCTTCCAAAGAACCAAGGTACCACACTGTGTTTTGCCGATTGTAATTCAAGCTGGTTCGATCCTTATTTGTTCCTCATTTTCAGGTATCGCACTGTGGACCTAACATCCTGAATCTTATTATGGCAAGAAATAGCGGTAAAACAAACTGGATGCTTCGAAAACATAATCACCGACATTTCTATTGTATTAGTCATCACATCCCGGTTGGCTGTAAAAACTTCATCGGATATTATTCAAATTATAAGATTTTGTTTTAAATTGAATTCACAATTTCAGTCCCATTGTTGTTGTGGGGAATTTTCTTACATAAAGGAATCAAAGTTTTATCCTATATAATTTCAAGCATTGCATGTGTGGTCTGTTTTTTAAGAAGCTGCAGATGCAGCTGCTGGTTACTGCAAGATGATGAGTTCGGACTTCAGAGGTTAAGTTTTGGATTTGGGAGTGAAAAATATTAGACCATTGTCTCCGACTCCTCTCCACCTCAAAATTAGAAAGCTCTCTGTTTTTTATCAGCTATTTCCTGAATTTTATATCTCACTGCTGCTCTTCTATCCTGCCTGCAGCTCTATTAGCAGCACCGAAAGATCCAGCATTCTAAAGACATCTTCATCTTATCCCTCACTCACTTATATCCCTTTGCAGGAACAATTCAATATGACGATTCCATCTGTTGTGACGACCTCTAGGCTGCATTTCTTGAAGCTCAAGTCAACCGTCCCATGTCGAAAATTTTGGACAAAGCAGAGAATCTTGGGATGCTAGAGCAAATGATTCCATACAAGCAATGACAGGCCATCTTCTACTTGTCCACGCCAACTTCTTTGAATGTGCTGGATTGGCAATCGGAGTCAGCATGTCACATGAGGCCGCCGATGTATGTATGGGCAGCACATTTATTAAAACCTGGGCTGCAACTGCCCTCGGCTTGGCCAGTAGTACTAGGAATGGTGATCATTATCAAGTGCTGCTTCCTCCAGATCCCGATTTTGGTGCCGTGGCTTCTTTCTACCCACCACTAGATTTCCTACACACAGGTTGTGGAAGTCGCTATAGACAATTGTACTTCAACAACGAGGTTTTTGTTTGATGGCTCAAAGATTGCCACTCTCAAGTCCAAAGCTGCCAGGGCCACGGTACCCAACCCAACCCGTGTTGTAGTAGCGTTGACGCTCATTTGGAAATGCGCTATGGAAGCATCAAGATCAAACTCGGGTTATGTAAGCCCGTCGACATGGTGTTAGCCGGTGAACTTGTGACGGAGTCCCCTTCTATTGAATGATCCGTTGAATAACTGGAAGCAAATTTTCTTGCTAATGTTGTTGCCTCCGCTGGTAACTATCTCAATGTAATCCCACTTTTGGGTTAATTGATTTAAGTAACGATGTCATTGGCGGAACGGAAAATGTCATCGATCAGCTCAAACAGCGAATGTTTCAAGTGGAAAAGAAATGGATATTCATTGAAAATCAATGGAGCTTACAGAGATCAGAACAACATTACATTCACCTGGCCGAGGTACAATTTTCAGTTGTAATTGCTGAGGACAACAATAAACGATTTCGTTAGGCAAGATACCGATACAGTTTTCTGTCTACACTGTCGCGTTCCAAAAACTCCCGCTCGATAAGGGATTCAATGCGCTTCTTAATCTCCGTCGGGTTGGCCAGGAATCGAGATTGCAACTGCTTTGTGACCTCGGATATTACGTTGTTGTGATCCAGAGTTCTCCTGGATTTCATGATTCTTACTATCGCAGCTTCGATCTGGGGCTTCCTGTCCTCCTCTACTCTCTGGCGAGTCTCTTGTTTTTCAGGTTCTGATTCCTTCTGCGCAACCACAGTTCCTATCTTCACCTTATACAACTTACTTGTGAACTTGTCGTTAACAACGAAAGCATCATCCTCGCCAATGTCTTTACTCATAGGCTCTTTCCGAAGAACATTTTTTCCCTTCACACAAGCCATGGATTGCAGACATCTCTTCAAATCTAAAGCGGGAATCTCCGCAGCCTGCTCAATCTCCTTGTAGTTCAGTCGATCAGCATTATTAAACAGCATTAGGACACACATTTGATAAGTGGAGACATTCAACTCATGCCTCTGGCCTTTCCCGAAAGTAGCCTTTATATCTGCTGTGCCCATGTTAGTCTGCCAGGACAATCTCCGACCTGTATGTGTCCCGAGGTAATACGAACGGAACTTCTCGCAGAGTTCCGACATTTCTAATGGAAGGTTGCATGTCACACTAGGTTGAGTGGGCCAGGACCCTGTCGTCAGAACCTGGACGGTCAACGTAGGGCCATCCTCTAGCTCGGGATGACTTGCATAAAACCCTTGCATTGTATCCTGGGAGGTTTTCATATCTGTAAACATGCCCTCTAATTTTGAAGTAAACTGGTATCCGCATTCGGTCTTGAGCTTAACTATCAAACTTCTCTCTGCATCGTCGGAGACAGTTTTACCAGACAAAAGCCGCTTTGCCAAATGCTGCTTATAGTACTTCTCGAATACGTCTTCTCCTGCAAGTAACGGAACAACATCATCACCTTGTCGAGAATAATTTCCACATCCTCCTCACTGACCCCCTTCAAACTTTTGCGGAGTTTGTCATCAACAAACAGCGAAATGAACTCAGGCGAACGACTGTTGAGATTAATGAAGTACTCGAAAGAGGAATTCAAAGCATTTAGGAATGTCTTGTCATTGTTAAAAGACAGTTTAATAATGCTGTCATACTTATCTTTCTCATCCAAGAGCCTCTGGACAAACTCCACTGGATCCTTCAACCTTTCTGGATCGGTAACCAGCTGTTTACCAGTTTCCCTGATGTGAGAAGTCATCACTTCTCGTATTGTTGAGAGACCGTTGGCAACCCGACGGAACAAGTTGTACATTCTTCCAAGGTCTTCATATTTATCATCGAAAAGCATGTTCACCAAACCTGAATTCTCCATGTGGACTAATCTCAGCATGTGGTTTGCAATCACCTCCTCCTCTACCACATTCGTTATCTTGTCTTCACTCTTGGCATCCAAGTAATGTGTCACCCTTTCCAGTTCCTCATTCAGGCGCCTCTCAGCCTGCTGCAGATAATCCCCACAATCGTAGCACTCGATAAATTTTTGGGACTCGCCCTTGTAAAATTCAGCTGAAACCTCAAGAAAATGATTCTCAAAGTCGTCCTGGTAAACTGAAGGACCTAAATCCATAAGCATCTTAATTATATTCCTCATCAAACCCCGGTTGATAACATTACCGGTTCGTTCTCTGAGCACTAGTTCAAGAAGTGTGTTAAGAAGCCTCGTCTGAATCTTGCTAGAGCGGACAATATTGTCTCTCCAAAGGTTGAGCCCAAGCTCGTGAACTGGGGTTTTCTGAGTGCTCGGAATGTAAGTCCTGTCCATATACATCAGAATGTCTCGAATCATCTGCAACGCCTTGTTGTGTTCAGTCCATTTCTTATTCATTTCTTCAAGAAACATTCCACCCTGAGCAGATTCAATCGATTTAGATATCTCTTTGAGATGAGAAGTCATGGTTGTAACCAGTCCCGAGTAAAGCTTCTCACCGAATTTGTGGAGCACCATATTGTAGGCATTTCTGAATCCATAAAACAACATAGTTTAGCAACATGAATATCAACTCTCGTTTTCACAATAAGAAGCAAAATCACATAAAATCCTAAAGCACTTCTCAATTGCATATCAATTCACATTTAGGCGTGTTTGGACTGCTTCCGCAGGTGAAAGTGCTTCTCCAGAAAGCAATTAAATTTGATAAGTTTTTTGACGTTATTGTAATAAAAGCACTTGTAGCATAACTGCTTATTTAAACAAGTGCTTTCTACAGCAAGGTTATTCTCATTTCATTCAAACATATTTGGCATCAAAACACTCAGAACTTAATTTAGCTCTTCCTTCACAAATGCTCAATCTATGCCTGGATCGAAAGCATCGAAACGAAAACAATGAAAGTGAATTTAGCAAATTTAAATCAACAAAATCAACAAAATCTAAATTCTCCAAACAAATCAAAGCAATTCAAAACAGCAAACACAAATACATGAAATTAAGAGGAGCGTGAGGGAGCGAGCGAACCTGTAAAGCTCTTCGAAGCTGAGGCCACTGGCATTGTGATTGTAAATCTCGCGGATTGCGTGCTCCAGAACCTTCCACGTCTTGTCTGCGTATTTCGGATCCACCACCACCCTGTGCTTGAACGCCTCTATCTGAAAATTCCTCTTCTTCTGGTTACTCATCGGATTCTATTTCCGATATCCTAATCACAACGCCTCAAAACACCGATTTCGGTATGGCCGCCACAAACGGAGGAGCTCTGCGTCTTCTTTTGCTTCGACGGAAGCGGAGGCAGGGAGGGAGGAGACCGGCGGTGATTGGAGGATTTGATTTGATTTGCCGCGTGACAGTGGCGTTGAAAACAATTGAAATAATATTCAATTGATTGGCGGATTTAAAAGTTTATAAAGATTATTGATTAATTAAATTAATTAAAAATAATTAAAGAATTGAAGGGTTGGAAAGGAGGAGAAGCCAAAGCAGGAGTGCATTGTGTGGGGGAGGCCATTTGATTTTGCTTTTCGTTTTCGTTTTCGTTTCGTTCGGCACGTTTCCCGTACAACGACGAAACGTTTCGCCGTTGCGTTCGTTGGTGGGTTTTTTCTGCACATTTCGTTTTGATCTAATATTTTCGGCGCGTCTGTGAAACTGAAAGCCAAGGCTTCTTGGGCCTCCTGCCTTTAAGTTGGGCCTGTGCCCGCTGAAAATAAATAGTTTTGGGCCTCCTGTCACCTGTCTCTAATTTTGGGCCTCGTTATTGGGTCTAAGCCCACTGAAAATTAGCGGTTATATATAAGAGTAAATTGTAGCAATGGTCGTTTAACTTTAACTCAATTAAAGCAATGGTCCTTCAACTAAAAATCTATTACTATTGGTCCCTCAACTCATCAAAACGTACAGCTATAGTCTCTTAATTGAAAATCAATTACCATTGGCCTCTTAACTTTAATCCAACTAGAGAAATAGTCCATGAACTTTAACCTAATTAGAGCAATTCTGACAAAGTTGACGAAAATGATCGTAGTTACACATTTTGATGAGTTAAAGGACCATTGCTCCAATTAATTAAAATTGAGGTACATTGCTATAATTTACTCTAAATATAACTGTCCTTCTTCTTCCTAGTATCAGGCGTGCGTGAGAACTACGTCGTCGTGAAGTTCAAGCAACTGCACGCGATAAATACACACAAAAATCAGCGGACAGCAGAATTCGAACTTTCAGAAGCTTCCGCAGAAGAAGCTTCTCAGAGGTACGAGATTCCACGATTCCTTCCAAAACTTCTAATCGCTCACTTTGAATTATGTGCTTTCAGTTCTTTTCGTTCTGCTTCCAGTTTTATTTTCTCGAATTAATTTCAGATATTACTCTGTTTTCCGATTCTTAAGTAACAAAACGACCCCGCTTACCTCGGTGTTTCCCATCGCCGAAGAAAATGTCCCAAGATATCTACTCTGAGCGCCCCTTGTTCGGCGGCGCCATCACTAGCACTTTCCCTCTCAGATTCGAGGTCAGTTTTTGTATATATTTTGATTATTTTTGTGTTTGTTTTTGTAATTTTATTCCAAATTTTGCATCTTTTTTTCTTGTTTTCTGTCAAATTTGTAGGATGTGAGCAACATTCGGCAAGTTCCCGATCACCAGGTTCGTTAATATTGCTAATTGGTTTTACTACTCTTCAAATTTTGCTTCTTTTATTTAATTTCATGTTGTTGATTTTATTTTTTTGGTGGGTTTTTGAAGGAGGCTTTTGTGGACCCTGCCCGAGATGAAAGCTTGATCTTTGAGCTCTTGGAATTGAAGCATGAAGTCGGCGACAATGGAAGCGCCAACTGGTTTCTTCAGGACCTTGCCACTGAGCAAGATGCTGACGGGAGCATGGTAAAACCCTAAACCCTGAACCGTAAACCTTTGCAGCTAATTGATCCGTTTTGCAGTTGTATTTTAACGTTTTATTTTCGCAATTGCCGTCAGGTGATCGAGCAGTCTGGCGTAATGGAGGCCCCCAGATTGTGTTATAGAAACACACCTGCTGTTGTTACGACTGCTGTTGGCCAAATGGTATGTGCAGTTTGAATTTCGTGTTATTCGTGGCTTACTGGTTCTCACTTTTGATTCTCGCCATTTGTTTTGGGTCGTAAATTTCGTGTTTTCCGTTCTTGAATGTAGGCAATTTCGAAAGGGCGGCAAGGAAGGGAAGCGCAAAATATTGTGAGGGTATGTTTGTTTGTTGTGTTGTATGGTATTCTAAACTGTTTCAGGGTGCTACTCCTGATTTACTTCGGCAAGTATGCTAACTCGGGTTTATTGCTTGGAATCGTGCAGGTCTATGTAGCAAATTTGCGCCTTAAGGAAGTTAATACAGATGTGCTGATTACTGCATATGAGCCCGTTCATATAAAGTAAGTTGCCGCAAAAATTCTATGTGGATACAATAGGAACTTATCTCTTGTAAACAAGATAGTCATGAATTATGTGATCAAAGATCTTGACTTCCTGATTGGGCCATACGAAGTAGGATGTAGTGTATGCCTTCTTACATTTAATTTGCAATATCCTTTCATCGGCTGCCTGATTTCTTAAACATTAGGCAACTAAAAAGAGAATAATTAGCACTACAGGATGACTAGGGGGGTCCTAAACTTAGCTTATGTCACAATACATCCCGCTTTGTTAATCCCTTAAAAACCGTAAGAAACACAGGTCCCTCCCCATGAGTCTCCTCTGTGTTTTCTTTTAAGGTAGTAGTAGTTCTAGCACTACCTTAGGAGTGCGGAAATCTTTCTTTTTAAGGGGTACGGACCCCTCCATTAATATGGTACATATAGGTGAAAGATGTAATCCTTGTATTTTGTTATATTCTCATGTTGTGCTAGTTTCTCATCTGCAAGCAGTTTGGCTGAATTCGGTCGCTCTGAAAATCTACCAAAAGCAAATATTAGTGCACGGTTTCTCTCCTTTTATGTACCTTGTCATATAAGATGGTAAAAAAGAATACGGTTGCTGCAGAAAGGATTTAAATCCACTGTGGTTGAGTTCATTCAGTTCAGGAAGAGTATATATGCATGCTAATATTGTCTAATGTGCATGATAAACTTTTGCATTCTATGACATTGGTGTGATTATGTTGTTTTGGTTGCAGTCCTTTGAGCGAAAGTGCAAACACCGTGGGGGCTGGTTTTGCTGTTCCTGCAGTACAATCCGGGCATATGCCAGTGGCCGAGGTCTTTAAACTCGCCGTCTCTAGCTTCAGGGTCAATGACTGGAATCTTTTTGGTTCTGTTGCCTGAGATGTATTGTGTGTTCATATCAGCAGTAATTTACTTTTTTAAGATAAGGTGAAACTCTAAGCTACGAAAAGCTGGGTTTTTGGAAGAGGCATGGGTTTTGTAGTTTGATATCTTTGCCCTTTTCGGCTTCTATGAATTCAAGTTTTCTTCCGATCCACAAAAAGTTCAAACGCAAATTCTTCTCGTGCAGTTTATTTGTGTTAGTGAGTTAAATTGTTAAATGTTAAGAGGGAGAGAAATCGCTGAGGTTTGAATTTGCACTAGTGTCCAGAGTGTACAAACTATAACTTCAGAGACTCGCTCAAGTTCAAATTAGAAAAGTACGGATGGCTTACAAAATTGATGTTGGGCTGGGCTTGGCATCTTATTTGCACAAACTATAGCTTTTAGATCCTTCATATTTGCATACGCCTCATTTCTGTGTGTGGAATTACTTTTTGTTTTTGTTCATGTTTTTAGATGGGAAGGAAAGACAGAGAGAAAAAAGTGCAATTGAAGAGGGAAGTTTTCATTTTTATTTTTTAGATTAGAGGATGCTAGGATCACTTTTGGGTGTGACTTTTCAAAAGAAAATTAAAATTTATTTTGTGTGAATTTATTTGACTGTCTTGATTTTATTTTGTGTAAAAGACTAAATTGTCTTTTCGTCTGCTTTTAGTTTACAAAGAGGACTTTTTTAATATGTAGTTTCGATTATTGATGGATACTTTGATCATCTAAAGTCGATCAATTTGTCAACGAAATTAATATGAATATATAGTTAATTACTTCAACAATTCAACAAGGTTGATATGAATACTTAGTTAGCTATTCCGACAATTCAAGATTGATACATCAATGACTATGACATACTTTTCATGTTATTGATAAGATCGATACTTTAATTACATAATTATTGATACGGTGCTAGTAATTATCTACATAGGATTGTGCAGTCGGCTGTGTGATCCAAATTTTCCTCAAGAGTCAAGATAAGAGAAAAACCCAAGTACTGTGATTTTCACATTGACAAATGAGAAATGCTAAGGAGAGTCTCCATAAATTCTCTGCTATCTCAATGTTTAGTAATAATTTTTTTACTAACATTATAAAATATTGTACCAAAAATTTAAGATGACAGAAAATTCATGGAGAGTTCCACATGCTCTTAACAAATTATACCAAATCAATCACGTGGCAGGCGACTAGTTTGAATTATGAACTGAGTGGGGCCCAATAACACGTACAATATGGCTGTATTTTGTTTGCGTACTTTAGAGACGATGACTAATTTGTTGAAATTATTGGTTGTCAAATTGCCCAATTCACATCATATCATTGCAAAAACTTAGAATCTAGATACGATAAGTGTGATAATGACATAATAAAATATGACGATTTATTATCTTAAGTTTTGCATTACATTGTCTGAATAATCAAGAAATGAACTACATTTATGCGAGGTACCAGCGGTAGGTTTGTCATGTATGTTGTTTTTGTGATAAGTTTGTACCTGAACTATTGATTCTTGTGGTTTTGTGTGATGGTCATATGATTTAAAATTATTTACATTCTATGCAAATTATCTCCAAATCAAAATATTAATCACTTAAAATAATGTACTTATCTGACATCTCTTGAACTTAATTGTTGGTACTAATAAAACACTTTATCGTTAGCTTCGTCCAATTGTTTTTTGAAGCAATTAGTAAACGAAACTCATTTCCCACCAGCCACAAGATGAAAGAAAGGGGGGACGTGTGTCAAATTTACAAATTTTGGTCGGTAGCTTTAGCTTGGTGAGTTAGTATTACATTCTAGTGACATTTATATTTTCTTCACATGTAAACAAAAAGTTTTATATTCAATTCTTGCTAAGACGAATTTGAACCACATTATTGCAAGCATATTATAAGCCTAAATCCACATTTAATGTAAATAATATCTTTTGTTAAAAAAAAAAACACACACACACACATCCAGCATAGATATGATTTGAAGAAAAACTTATCGAGGAAGGTCAAACTTTACAACTGAGATCTGCCAAAAAAAAAAAAATCACTATGACTTTTTGGATAAAACTTTCACCTACTCAGCCAAAAAGTATTCCCACCTTCTGAACTAGCATGTTGCTAATTAGATACAATATGATGTTGGATACATTAGCACTGGACTATTGGCCTATCATTAATCGGCCGATGTAGTCAAGGGAGATGATCACGTGTATGTGGCTGTGGCACAAGTACATCGCAATAGTCGCTATTCATGTCAATAATTTAACAACATTTGAAAAAATAACACAAATATTTTTGTATTATATGTAAAGAACACCACTACTTGTGCCACGCAAGTCTTTATCCTCGAGAATGACATTCCATTGACTGAGCTGGACCATGGGGGCCCACTCCCACTATTCCATCCGTGCAATTCACTGTTGTAATTGTGCCTATTTCTCTTTTGGTAAGTTTGTAATGTCAATGTGTGTGCTTTTACGACTGAATTAATGTGAATTAGTAGCATATATAATCACAGTGTTAATGCTTAAGGGTTTAATTCTCAACATTAATACGTAGATTATATCTTGGCGCGTACAAAGACTTTAATTCCCAAAACAAGAGTAAGAGTAATTACATGTTGTTTCGGTAATATGTTCTACAAGATGCTAATTTTGTAGCAAATGTGATTCCAAACTAAGGTCATCAAACATGTGTATTCTGTCAAAGGATTTGCACGCATTTACGTAATTTTTTTTTTTTTTACTTCCGTTGATCTTCTTCAATTCATTCGATCCAACAGCCGAAATTTAGAAAGGTGTGTGAGAAGTAAAAAAGGGTGTGTGGATATTACACCCCTTCAAATTATAATGTGAAACACCCAAAGGCTAGAAGAATATGGAAAATATGAGTTTAATGGGCATGCAAATAAACAAGAGTAATGTTATTCATACCATGTTTTAATACCACATTTCTATACCACTTTAGGTGGCATCTGATGTGAACAGCCATATTATTTGAAAAATTTGCAAAACTCAAGGAAATAAAGGAAAAATACTCCTTGTATACCACAATCATCATTTAATTAATTAGTTTTTCTTAATTATTAGTTTATTAAAAAATGAATTAAATTTAAAAAACTAATTAATTCAAATGATGTGACTATCCACATTAAATGACACCTAAGATGTATGAAAATATGATATAAAAATGAATAACATTACTAAATAAACAATTATTGGACCCATACCTCAGTCGTGCACGGATATACTTTTACCGACATAAGCGTAGTTGTGGATCGTGATGTGGTTTCTTTAGTTTTAGTATGGTCAATCCTTAATTTCTCATGATAGAGACGGTTTTATTTATGGGAATTTTAACGAAAAGTTTTCGGTACTATTTATGTTAACGAAAAATCACATTTTTACACTAAAATATCAATCCTGGTACTATTTACTTTATCATTTATTTTATCTTTATCGTTAAAACTCAAAGTTTTCAAACTTTTTTCATTAATTTTCCTTTTATTTATTATTTATTGCACCATGCAAGCAAACATATCAACACTTCCCATGTATCCCATGTTCAACAGGCAAAATCTATAGTCATATACAAACTCTAATTATATGGGCTTTTTCTTTAGATAATAATTTGTGGTTGACTGCATCTTTTTTATGCAAGCGATAATGAGAGAGAGAGAAATCAAACCTGAAATCATGAGTACAAAGGTGAGTATTTTAACTCGATCGAGATATCTTGCTCAAGAAAGATTGATTGAATTATCAAAAGTGTGGAGCGTGAAGTTCAATTGGATCTATCTTCTAATTGGCTCCGAACAACTGAAAAAAGATTATTTAATCAGAAAGAACTCAGTTCAAATGTAAGATACATATTCAGAAGTTTTGACAAATAGAGTAATCTAAGTTGAAATCATAAGTACAGAGGTGAGTATTCTTAACTAACTCTTACTGAGTAGGAATTGTTTGCATGGTTGCTTGTTTTGGACGAACCATGTTTACCCCCAACACTGATTACTTTTTGCCTTTGAATTGGACACCGCAGCAACCACTGCTTTGACAAAGGAGACAATACTCTGTATGAAACCGCAAATTCTAGACTGATCTATTGCTTTTCACTAGGCAAAAGTTCAATTACACACTAGCCTCTTTTGTCAAAGCATCCTATGCGATTTTCAAACTTGCGTATTTTAAATTGAGTTGACTTGTACATGAAATTATGTATAGGCATGTCAACATACTTTTAAGTCGACGGAAGTGTAAGACTCATAGCTCATAAGCATGAACGGTCAAGATCCATGTGCATGCACGACATAGTCTACCATGGCTGATAGTATGCAGTACGAAAAGAAAATTGAACGGTGAAGAGTTGAAGCAGCTGTCCTCTTCTGTTGACAAAGGCCACATAATTATGAAAGCAGTACTAAGATGGAAAGGATATCAGAAAGAGGAGACCCGTCACAGCTAGCTACCAAAATTAGGTAAGGTCACCGCAAGCAATAGGTCTGGAATGACCCACAAATATGCATCGATGCATTGCTTTTTGTGCATAGTACGGAAAAGTGCTTATTGGATTCTCCAAGTTGGATAAGCTGCTTAAAATAGTGCTCTCATGATTAATTATGTGATCCCAATAGCCTGTCATTCAGTACTCCATTCTTTCCCTTCATTTTATGTTGGATTAATATTGTGCATGCACAACTGTCATTCCCTATCTTTCTGGCTAGTATTCTTCTAATCGTAGAAACGAATTTATCTATGGATGCTAAGTAGGTCATTGTTTAAATATGTTTTTAATATCACTTTACATACGGACAGGTCATACCTACACCAGTGGCGAACTTAGGAAATCATATCTACACCAATGGTGGACTTAGGAAATCTTATTTTGAGAAAAAAAAAAAGGGGGGGGGGGGAGGGGATGCACAAAATTTTTGGACTGTATAGCATGGAAATTGGCATTTCATTGAACCTTGGTAGGCCTCAGGTCATTTGCCAAGTCATATTACACACATGTGAACTGATACCAAGTCACCTTCCAAACAAGCACGTCGACTAATATCAATAGCTTTTGAGCGAGCATGTTGATAAGTGCCAACATATGCTGAATGAGCTTATCGAAAGATACTCATAGCTAAGCAACAAAGGCATGAGGCTAGTAGCTACCC